GTGCGGTGTTTATATGTTATGTATATATATATATGTATATATATGTGTGTGTGTATACATATGTATTAATATGTATGTCTATATATATGTATTTATACATATGTTTATATATATGTACATGTATATATGTATATATGTATGTATAGATAGATATACAAACAGATAAACAGATACATACACACACGCACATACACACACACACACACACACACACACATATATATATATATATGTTGTATGTATGTATATATAAAGTGTGTGCTGATTATATATATACATATATATACATAAATATATATATTATATATATATATATATATATATATATATATATATATGTATATATATATATATATATAATATATATGTGTGTGATCATATATGTGTGTGTGATCATATGTGTGTATATTCATATATATATATATTATATATATATATATATATATATATATATATATATATATATGTATGTATGTATATACGTATGTATATTTGTAAATAAGTATATATTCACACATATATACATATATTCATAAATACATATACATTTGTGTGCGTATGTTTATATATGTATGTATATGTACACATATATGTATATATGTGTAGATACATATCGATCATATGTGTACATATGTATACATGCTTCATATGTGTACGTACATCATATGTGTACATATATACATATTTATCAACATATACGTATATATATGCATACTAATACGCATTTAGGTATGTATATCTTTATGTATGTACTGTATGTATCATTGTACCTATGTATATATCCACGCACTTTATATACTAATACATACAAAAATCTCTCTCACCCTTTCTGTGTGTATATATATATATATATATATATATATATATATATATATGTGTGTGTGTGTGTGTGTGTGTGTGTGTGTGTATACACATGTATATTAACATGTATATATGAATATGTAAGTATATACATACATACGTGCATAAGTATATATATGTATAACCCTTTTTTGTAACATCCCGAAATCCCAACCACTTCGATGTAATGTTTGGTGTTTTATCATGTTCATTGATGATGATATGTATGTATATATACATTTATGTATATACTTATTTTTTTATAGATAATGATAAAGATTTAAAGAGCAGGATATGAAAATGCTTAATACAAATGAAATATATACTTACACTAAAAGCTTTTAATGTACAGCATTTGAATGACTAGATATATTTTGTACATTATTTACATAAACATGATGAATAATTCATGTGTTTATATTAGTATATCTATCAATCTCCCTCTACAAAACATAATATAAAATAATTTTATTTATTTCGAGAATCGATAAAAAAAATGAATATAAATATTTTACCTGAAATATTTCGTTGATAATTATTCATCGAATGTTACTTTTCTATGTTTGTCCCAATACCCAAAGTTTGCCCAGTGCATTTTTCTGAATATATAATAAAAAACTACCTCAGGTAACTGCTGTTGAAGATCTCTTGAATTCATGGAGTGAATCAGATAAAAAACTCTTTCAAGAGGTCTCATTCAATTTACATAGGATTAAAGAAGAATTTCTTGGTGAAGCCAAAGTACCTCAATTCAGGTGAGAAACTAGGAGAGCTCTTGTTGTATTCTTTCAGGAATTCTCTGTAAAAATCACAAAGTTCATGCTCAGCAGCATGTTCTGCCAAAGTGCGACACAAGGACCAGCTGAAGGAGGTTCCTTTCCCATTCGGGACGCAGTTCACACCAATGCTGTTCGAATATAGACAAGCCATGTCGTTCAGGGGATCTGTCAACCTCATCACTTTTGGACTTTCACTGCTTGAAGTCTCGATAACTTCATTCATGTTAAACAAGTTGAAAATGAAAAGTTTGGGTTTGTTTTTGAGCTGAGGACATTCGGAATCTTTGAACGCATTCAACATATAGTCGATGTCTACACATTTCATGTCAGACGTAAGAACACTCCTGCCATTTACACTATATCCACAAATGACAAATATAGCACATCCGACGTCTGTTAGCTCATCACCATCCCTAATGTTTTTCATGACGTCCTTAGTCTGCTGAGCCGTGAGTGACGAGTGTGTTTTACACATGTATCCCATCTTATCAAATACATCTGACATTATGCAAGCATCGTAGTCGAGTTGCTGAGGTTCAGGTCGGATCTGTCCTTGAAACAACTGAAGTTAAGATGCGAACAAAGCCTCGTGCCTCCTTGTCCATCTTGTACACATCAGCACCTCCTTGAATTGCCGTTGCATGTCTCACACGAAATTGTCGTGAGGGAACCTGAAATTTAAAGATGCCTGTCATTAGTGGAATGTAAAGTAATGAAGGAATAAATAAGATTAGTTATAGTGATAGATAGAAAAAAGTATATAATACAATTCATATAGATGTCACTCACTTTAAGCTGCACAGAGTTTGAGACAGCTGATGTCAGAAGGCCAGTTTCACCGTTTTTATCATTTCTTGCATTCTGAAACATTTGAAATCAATGTAAATTTTCTAAAGCTTACATTACGCTATATAAGTATTATATTCTCCCAAGACACTGTTGACAATTTGAGGATATAAGAGATCTAAGATGATTACCTTGGCAAACATGGTTACAGCCCATTCCATATTCAGGGCACTGGCAAGGAGGCCAGCTGTAGTCACTCCAAGCTCTCGTGCCAACACTCCATTCACCAGCTTTCCACCGTGACTGTCTGGGTCTGCACCAACTGCCAACAGTCTTTCTGCTTCTTTCTTGTTCCCTTCTAATACGGCCTTGAACAGATGGCCACCAAGCTGAGAAAAAGAAAACTCTTAGAAAAGAAAATACTCCAAATGAAAACGCATATTGTACAATTAACTACATTCTACAACTCTACAGTTAACATTTTCATGCTAGACTATCGGGTGAAAGCTTGTGTGATTGAAATGCTACTGTAGTCTTTCATCATAATTACTTACTAGGGTTTTTACTGTGTTGTGGCATTATCCCGTTTGTCGGCATCGAAGTCAGAGTCACTCATTAAAAGTTTCAGCACTTGCGTGTGACCCTTTTCAGCGGCCACGTGAGCTGGAGTCTGTCCCTCCTCGTTGGTAATATTGGGACTGATCAATTTCAGCAGAAACATCACCACATCCGCTTGGTTGTGAGACGCTGCAGTGTGAAGGAGTGTGCATCTGCTCTTGTTTTTCCTCACAGCTGCTCCTGTATCTTGTATTAATTCCTGCACTTTTACCACATCTCCATCTTCCACTGCTTTGAAGAGCTGACCCTATTGACCAATAATAATTTGTTGAACTTTCGAAAACATTTGGAAAAGTACTAAAGCACAATGAAAGCCAAAATATCAAATATGTGATATAGAAACAATTAGGTATGCCTACTAATGCTTACGTTACCTTTAACTTGAAGACATGAAGTGGTGTGTGATTAGCGATGCGTTTAGCCAATCTGTTTGTTAAACTTCGAGTATAAATGCAGTGTTTTGAATGGAGTCTTCGTCTTCTTCACCTTCATAACATTAACCTGGGAGAACTTGGACTTTCGTGGAGACTTTGGTTTCCCAACAAGTGACTTTTGGGGCATGGGCATTTGGCTTATTTTCGAACGCAGTTTAGGATCTGCAGGACAATTTCTTTTCCACAAATCGAACACCTGTCGCCTTCAGAAGTTTTTTTCTTCAGCAATAGCAACTGACACCTGCTGTTGATCTGGCACAGATGAACTCTGAGACATTTTCTCAGCTTCTGCAGTTGTTACATCTGTGGATTTCTCACTGGTAGTGGTTATTTTCGAACGCAGTTTAGGATCTGAAGGACAATTTCTTTTTCCACAAATTGAACACCTGTCGCCTTCAGAACTTTTTTCTTTATCAACAGCGATTGACCTGCTGTTGATCTGGCACAGATGATGACTCTGAGACATTTTCCCAGATTCCACACTTGGAACATCCATGGATTCTCACTGGTCATGTTGGCATCAGATTTCTCTACCTCTTCCTCTGCTACTTGGCCTTCTGACTTATCTTCATTAGGCGAGACCCCGCATTCTACATTTGTTTCTGTCATAGTTCCTTCTGATGGAGCCTCAGGTGGCATGTCTTGTGTAATTGGTGACATAACCGGTGAAATAAGAAACATTTCCTTTCCTTGCTCTCCTGTACCAATTTCCTCTGCTGAAACCCTAGCTCTCTTTTCGAATGAATCCTCAGATTCTCCCTCACTAGATAGGTTCCTCGACCTCTTCAGAGAGATTCTTTAGACGGGACTTGACTTGATAGAACCTCCACTTCTTTGGCGGAAATGTCTCTATTTGTGCTGCAGAATCTTTCCATCGGTAGTTCAGGCGCCGTTTTATTTGACGTTTCCTCTGATGAAATATCTGAAGGCACATTGCTTGATATTTTCTCTATCTGGTCATTAAACATATTTCCTGATACTGAAGTCTTCATGCCACTGCATCGCCTTATTAATTTGAATAACGAATCCGGCGTCGTCGAATTTTCTTTCGATTCAGAAGAGAAATAATCGCTTTTGGCTAAATCTTTATCTGATTTTGCTTTGGGAAGCAAAATCAATGAATTCTCAGACATTTCCCGCAGTAGAGACTGACAGAACAATGAGTTGGTTCGAACAACTTGAGATCGAAGAGCAGTCTCTTCCTCCAGGGGAAGGTAATCCTCCGGAATGTAAGGTGGAGTTTTGTCAGCCATGTTCTCGGGAAAAAGTTTGCTGAGAAGGTTTGGCTGTGAGGGCGACAGTGCAAGTCTTCTCCTAAATGTTCTAGTAATTCTTCACAGTGTATTCTGCAAAACAGAAAACACATGTTAGTTTCATCTACACCTATTTTCTAATTACTAAACAGAGGTTAGGGCATAAATCAGTGGACTAATTGGACTTCTGTCAAATGTTTGTTCCTACTAATTCGAGATGTATTTTTATTAATGTTTATACAATTAGAATCTTACTGACACCACTAATTTAATCCTAGAGATATGGTAGTCTAAGTATATTTATTATACAATTTGTTTATTTCAAGGTCTCTAAAATTTTTTCTTACCTTAATATTAATCCAGCAATTGTTATCTAAACAGAATTTGCACAACGAATTTCAATATCTTCTTTCCTTTAATGCACAAGTATGCTTCAAGATGGTGGAGTGACACTTTCAAGTGTTTCACTGTTTTCACGTTGCTCACCGAGCGAGCACTGACTGCAAGGTCGGTGTGTCCGCTATTTATAGGGCTCCGACGCGAGACAAGTTGGAACGCGATATCCCAGCTGCGCGCGCAATACGCTCGAACTTGTGCTGATATTTGTTTTCCTTTTTGGATTTTAACCTTACCCTAAAACGGGAAAAGTATACATACACCATACATGGATGCAAACAGGCACATACATAAGGATAGATGTAAAGAAACGTGAACTGTATAGAATGATAGATAAAGACAGGGATAGATAAGTATATGATAGAAATAGATACATGTTTCTTTGCTGTAATGTAAAAACGTGTATTTTTACTATGTGTATGTACATTGTGTTTTTGTGTTTATATGTGTGGTACATTTTTTCTACCAGTTGATAATAGCAAGTAAACAGTAATCAGTCATTTAGGCCTTTCTGCAACAAAATTGATCCTGATATTTAAGTATGTATTGATTATGTTATGAATATTCACTGTCCTTTATTCACACAAAATATCTAGATAAGATAGGTAGATACTTAGATAATCGATAGCTAGATATACATGTACCTACATGAATATGCATGCTTGTATAATATCCACCTTTGTTTTACATTGATAAATTTATGACTATATGGTTTGGTGGGTATACGTATATTTACTTTTTCGTAAGTGTGTTATATTTAATATGTTTCTATACAGTTTATCACATTTCTTCCCGATGTGCTAGCGACACTTGAAACTCTCACGGGTTGAAACCTGTGATGCTACGTCACGATTACGTCACTGATAGAGGTTAAGATGCCGTGAAAATCTCTTATGATATATTTTTTGTTACTGTTAATCTCTCTTTTAATTATTTTTGTTCTCGTCCCTCTATCTACTCCTTCCACGCTCTATGCTCTTCCCTTGTTATTCTCCGTCTTTCATTGCCAATCCCCTTTTCTCTTTCCTACTTTCTTTCTTGTCCTTTCCGGTTCTCTTTTCTTTTCTTTTCTTTTATTATTATCGATTCGCCTTTCACAATTCCACTCGTATCTACTGCATATCTTTCTTTTTCTTTCTTCTTTCTGTATCTCATTTTCTCACCTTTCATCCCTCCATTTTCTTTAGCTCCTTTCCTTCTCTCCCGCTCTCTCTCTCTCTCTTTGTCTCTCTCCCTAAAACCATTTCCCTTCTCTCCCTACCTTCCCCATCCTTAAATTTCGTTTATGATGATATTTAGTAAACTGATTCACCCCAGAGAGCACTTGGGAAGAGGAAAATCGACGCATAGCAGACTCAATGAAAGTTATGAGTCAGTATACATCACTCAAAAGATACGAAGAAATCCAGATCGAAAAACATAAATAAAAATAAGGAAGCTGTATAGACTCGGGAACGTATCCACAGCAGTCATTTTTTAATACATGTATCAATTTTAGCATACTCGGTAAAGGTCATCGCATGAATTTCTCATTGGAAAGAGTGCCCAAGTACATGCATGCAAGTAGACTGACTTAAGGCAGTTCACTTGGGAATTCTCCGCCAAGATCACCAAGTTCCTGCCACAAGCGCTCAAACACAAGTTCCCTTCTCGCCGTAACGCACTTATTGGTATATATGTTTTTGCAGGTCACTGAAGGGATCTTGTCGAGTTTATGATTCATTATGATTATTTCGCTAATGGCACATTTTTGTGATTTTTTGAATGTTAAAGAGGACCAAAAATACATTTCTTTTCATATCATGGGGAATTTCGTCGCAGACTTTGGTCGATTAATTAAACAACTGAACAAAATAGCACCTCTTTGTCAGTGTTAGAAATATTTTTGACGTCATTTAGCCGAGCTCTGTCTCTGACATTCCAAAGGATTCCCTTGGTCTGCTCGCGGGGAAGCTCTCAAAATATAGTTATGTTAACCCAGTAGCGGATCGTGTTCAAAATCCTTAGCGACAACATTTTTTCTGGTCTTTTCCTCTGATGATTAAATTGCTGAGACTGAGTGTATATCAACTGTACATACATATATATACATATATGTAAATACATATATACATACAGATATATATACATATATATGTATGTACAAAACATACATATATGTATGTTTGTGTACACAAACATACATATATGTATGTATATACAGACACGCACCCACATATATACATTCATTCACATATTCACATACACATACACGCACACACACACACACATACACGCACACAACACAAATATGTGTGTGTGTGTGTGTGTATGTATAAATGGATGGATATAAATGAGTGTTATATATATATATAAGTGTGTATGTGTGTGTGTGTGTGTGTGTATAAATATATATATATGTTAATATACAAATGGATATATAAATGTATACATTTATATATATATATATATATATATATATATATATATATATATATATATATAAATGCATATGTATACACATATATACATACATATCGTATACTATACATGTACATGTACATGCATATATAATATATATATATATATATATATATATATATATATATATATATATATATATATATATATATATATATATATATATGTGTGTGTGTGTGTGTGTGTGTGTGTGTGTGTGGTGTGTGTGTGTGTGTGTGTGTGTGTGTGTGTGTATGTATGTATGTATATACATATATATATATATATATATATATATATATATATATATATATATATTTATATATATATATATGCCCGCCAATTTATGCATAGACTGTATATGTGTATGTGTGTTCTTATCAAGTTGTTTCAGTGCTCAGAGGGTCCCGTCTATATATTTAAATTGTCGTTTAACTTTTTAAAGTGTGCACATTTTTATCACACACATTGTTTTTTGGAAGACTGTTCCATGCTCCAATAGTTCTGTTTGGGAAACTATACTTTTGACATCTTTATTGCTTCCTTTTACTTTCAACCTTTAATCGTGTCCTCGTCCTTCTTGTGTTGAAGATTATTAGTCATCTATGTCTAATCTCACTCTTCCTGTAACCTAGCTGAACAGCATAATCATGTCGCCCTTTTCCTTCTTTGTTCCAAAGTAGTAAATCCTAATCCCCGTAGTCTATCTTCGTAGCTCATATCTCTTAGCGTAGGTGTCCATCTTGTGGCTTCTCTCTGAACTCTTTCCAGTTTGTCTATATCATTTTTTAAGTGTGGACTCCATACCACTGTATCGTACTCTAGCCTAGATCTTATGGTTGCTATAATGAACTTTACCATATCTTCGTCCACATACACGAATGCCCTCTTCATGTTGTCAATCAGTCGTAGCATTTTATGGACCTTTTCATTTATATGATCATTTCGGCTTTGGTTTCTGGTTATGGTTACCCCAAGATCATTTCCCTGTCAGCTGTGTTTAATATTGCGTTTCCTAATTTATGTTGGAATAGTGGGAGATTTTAACTTTTTCTGAACCTGACTACGTGGCATTTATTGGTATTGAATTCCATTTTCCAAGTACAATATCACGTGAATAAGTTTTCATTGTCACTTTAGAGGTATTGACATGAGAGGTCATCTATTATCCTTCTTTGTATTTCACGTCGTCTGCAACCAAATTAAGATAAATGCCTGGGCTTATGTTTGATGCAAAATCATTGGCGAAAATAGTAAACATAATCGGTGCCAACACCGATCCTTGAGGCACTCCGCTGGTTACTCGTCGCCATGTAGAATGCTTCCTCTAATTGCTGTGCTCATCTGTCTTTCATGAAGAAAGTCTTTCATCTATTCAAGGAGTTTGCCTTTCACTCCACCTAGGTACTTGAATTTCCGTAGTAGTCTTCCATAGGACACTTTATTAAAAGCCTTCTTAAAATCTAAGTACACACAATCCACCCACCAGTCTCTTCTTGTAATATTTCAGGAGGAGATTCGCTACACATGACCTTCCTTCAATAAAACCAAATTGTTTGTTTCATATGATTTCGTGATTTTCAAGTACCTCAACCCATTGTTTGCTAATTATCCATTCTAACAGTTTGCATTCTACACTAGTTGACGAAACTGGTCTATAATCTAGATTTTTGTTTGTTGCCGCTTTTATATGCAACATTAGCGAGTTTCCAACATTTTGGTAGTTTACCTTGTCTCCCTGAATTATGGAATATTAACAATAAGGAGTACATAGTTCGGCACATTCCCTAAGAACCTAGTTAGTAATCTCATCTGGTCCTGCTTTGGTCTTATCTAATCATTTTAGTAAATCTTTTATTTTATCATTTTTGAGGGTTATATTCTTGATGTTCTTTTTTACGTTTGTACGGGTATTTGTCATATTAAAGTATGGGTCCTGAAAACACTGACTGAAATTTCTCATTTAGGATTTCACAATTTCTTCCTCCTTAGTATAAACGATGTTATTGTCTTTGATGGCGCTAATTTCGCCTCTCTCATGGTTTGGGTATATTCATTTCTTCCAACTTTATATCTTCCATACGCTGTCTGAGATTTATGTCTTCTGAATCTTTTCTAATGGAGCTGCTTGCTTTCTCTCGTTTTTTTGCATTTGTCATTGAACCATTTTTGGCCATTCCTTGCCTCAGTTTTGAGTTTTGATAT